TTAACATCAGGAAAGTGATTCCTTCTAACACTGGAGGGAGAGAAAGGTCAGATCGGCTACAAGAAGGATTGCTGGGCAAGCCGAGGGAGGAAAAAAAAAAAAAGGAAGAAGCATGTCCTATTTTTACAGAGGGAAGAGGACTAGATGAACAAATCCCTAAATGGAGAACGGGGACAGGGAACCCAGCCATTTTTTTTCCCTGTCAGGGCTCTCATAAGGACAGTGAGCTTCCCTGTACCAGAAGCTTCACTGTATTTTGCCATCCTTTATCTTGTTTAAGCCTGATGAAACTCCACGGAGAGGATAACATTCATAGCCTCCATTCTATTGCTAAGTAAGCTGAGGCTTGGAGAAGTTAAGAGCACTGACTGCTCTTCCAGAGGTCCTGAGTTCAATTCCCAGCAACGACACAGTGGCTCACAAAGGTCTGTAATGGGATCTGATGTCCTCTTCTGGTGTGTCGGAAGATGGAGACTGTGTACTCACATGCATAGAGAACATAAATAAATCTTTAAAAAAGAAAGAAAGAAAAAGAAAGAAAGAAGACACAGGATGAGCCGGCCAGCCAAGGGTGAGTCTGGCACGCAAACTTCAGCCTCCTGTCCCAAAGCCTACATGCCTACCACCGAGCCGTCTTGCTTCCCATTTTCCTCCCCAAATATCTCTTGTCGCAGGCAAGGGATTGCTATTCTGTATATGCCAGCAACCGGGACATGAGAACAAGACAAGCCTGTCCCCTCCCAGGGCATGGTGGGCAAGATAAGTAAATCTAAGAGACCACATTCAGAATAACTTGCTCTCTCCCTCCATCCATCCATCTCTCTCTCTCTCTCTCTCTCTCTCTCTCTCTCTCTCTCTCTCTCTCTCTCTCTCTCCCGAATTCCTTTGTAGAAACTCCCAAGATTCTTGAGGTGATATACATCACACTATGACTCACAGGGATCTCGGCCAGCAGGTGGACATATGCTGGGTAGGAAACTATATGACCTGCAGATCCTTAAAGTAAGCCTCACCCATTTCTCTCTGTGGGACTTCCCATAATCCTGAATTCACCTGCACAGAGCTCCCCACGTGATTGCACAGATCCCACAGCTGGAGATTCTCTCCCACATCAAAGCCCTACCACCAAGGACAGTGATCAGGAAGAGGATACAAACTCCAGGCTGCAAATCTACAGCAAATGCCTCTGTTCCCATCTCTCAATGCTGCTTGCTCAATGTCCTCCTCTTCCCACATGTGACCACATGGAAGGGTTTTCACTTTTCTGTGTACCCGGCCTTCATCATAGCCCAGTCCCTGGGTTCAGAACTGAAAAGAAATATTTCCCAATTCTCAGCTGAATCTGGGCCTTAAAGTGATAGGACACACACACACACACACACACGAGAAAAAAAATGGTTTCAAATCCATCTTTACAAGCACAGGGTTTAAAAATATCTCTGTCTTTGTCTGCCATAGATGACTTTCCCTAAAGGGACAGCTGTCCTTAAAGCAGTCACTCAAGTCTCAGGGCAAACAGATTCTTATTTTTCCTAGTACCCAGCATACAACCTCCAGGAGCACACTGCCCCCACTACCTCTGATACAATCTGACATGCAAATGTCAAAGCCTACAGAATGATTCTTACCATCCTGCTGGCCTGGGAACAGCCAGGGTGCTGCACTCAGACACCCTGAAGTCCCTGCATCCAAGACCCACCACTCTCCCCCTCAAGGGCAGGACAACCCAGGGTGCTATCCCCACCACAGCTTTCAACTCATCTCTAGAATAGGTCTTTGGGAAATTTTTTATTTCTTCAGATATCGGATCATTCTTCGATCACACACCTACATGGAGGAATCAGATCTGAATAGGGAAAAGGTCTGGGGAGCAGTCATGATAAATGGTTTCCAAGATGCACAACTATGCTCACCTTGCCATTCCAAGATACCCTTGAGGTAGGCCTCACCCTGAATAACCATCAGTCTGGATTCACTCACTACCTTTCACCCAGACAGGTAGCACTACTGACACAATGCTATTGAGCATAACTCAGAAGTTGCATCCTGAGCAAGCAGTTGAGGGCACACGTTTGAACTGTGCGGCATCATCTCCTGGTTACCCTGATAACTTCCTTCTATCCCCTAAAAGTGCAGAACATTCTTATTAATATATGACTTATTTTTTTCTTAGCAACCCAGTGTCTCTTGACTGTCTCAAAACATTTGCCATCGAGTATTATAGAGTATAAAAAGCACTCATTTGTATGATAGTAACCTAAGTTAAGTCTAGATTTTGCGGTCCAAATTGAAGGTCAGCATTAATTCTCAGCTAGGAGTGATTTTATTCCCAGGGGGCATTGTGAGGTGACTAAATACAATAGTGTAAGTTGCAACTGGAGAGTGGGTGTCCCTGGCACCTAAAGAAGAGAGTACAGATGTTCCTTAAGTTCCTATAAACCATGAGGCCACGTGCCACAAGACTTACCCTCAAGGAAGAGTGCCAAGATTGAGATACCTCAGTTGAGGCTGAAATCACAGTTCCCAGAATGCCCCTGGCTACATCTGTGCTCTTCCATTCTGAAGACTCATTTTCCTCAAGATTCACTGAGTATTTCTATTTGGGTCACCCCTGTGAGCTATGCAGAAGAGTGAAGAACTTTTACCCTTTTCTGGTTTGTTTGAGATAGCACACCCAGCAAGCCCATGTCCCCTAAAATTCCATTTCTCAGTATAATCTTTATCAGAAGCAACATTGTTTGAATAGCAGAATGCGAAACGTTTTAATCTATTGCCATTTTGAAAAGGAGCTTTGATTTGTTTTTTCTGTTAGGAATATCACTTGGTTTTCAAGGCAAAGAACAAAACTGTGTTGAAATATTATCCTATTTCATTTGAAAGGATATTTAAGTGTAGGACTTATAGATGCTTTGGTATGTTTCTTCTATAACTTAATAAGTTGCTTCCCAAAGACACTTGGAAGTTCCTTGCTATGGACAGCAACTCCTGACTGGGGAATCTCCATCACCTGAGTCATGGACCACTGTGAACTCTAAGGAGCTCTGACAAATGACGGAGCCTCAAATTCTATGATCCTAATTTCTCACTTTTAAGAGGAACACCCTGGATGATACTCCTCAAAATCTCCCATTGTCTCTCTCCAAGGGGAGACCATGTAACTGTATCTAGTGGCTTCAGAAAGGTATTTCAGGTGACAATGATGGTCATAACGGTAAAAATTAGCCACAGCCACAACCATTCAAATGAACAGAACACCCAAAGCTAGCCATCTGACCTTGGTGCATTATTTATCTTTCCCAAAATAGTCCCGTCAAATCGAAACGATATCTTTCTATTAAAGGGGGAAGTGAGACTCCAAGAGTTTATTCCATTTCTACGGTGGTCACTCAGATACGCTGTAGGATGTAGGAAGTGCCAGTGCCCATTCTCTGGGACTCAGCTCTCTCCCCGTGACACATCATTACATCCGGTGTGAAGAGGCGCTAGGTTTTGCTAGCTGCCTCTCCCAGTGAAGAGACTGAAGACATCGGCGCTATGTATTCTTCATAGCAGGTCATCTAATTCACATCAAGAGGGTGATGCAGCCTCCAGGGGTATCTTGAGGTTAAAGTGGCATTTGAATACAGCCTGTGGCCTAGAGTTATCAACTAAAGTGGATTTTGGAGACAGGGTAAAATAGATTTGAAAGCCCACAGATCTACGAAAGGTCGAACTTGAACTCCAGGCTAACCTATAAAGGTAGGGTTTCTCTTCCTCCTTCCTCTCAGTTCCTTCCCAGTTCTGCATGTGACAGAAATTTCTGCATGAGGACTCAGAGTTCAGCAGAAACTGCGAACACAAGTCTCTCATTGTCCCGTTTGCTGTCTTTCCCTGCAGCTAAGCACCTTCTAATCAGTGACCTTCCTGTCATTTATCCGTCTGAATCTTTGTTCCCAGTACCTGTCCATACAACGATCTTTCTTCCTGCTTGTTTTGTGCTACGGTGTGTTAAAGGTATGGATCCAGGGCTGCCTCGGTCTGGGCTCAACCCCCACCTGCCCATTTGGCAATGGGTTGTAAAAGCACAGTTCTTTCCCAGTAATGTTTCTGTGTCTTTAAACATTATTTATGTGTGTATATGTGTGAGCCCGTTTGAATGTGGGAGGTGGGGTATGTGTACATGTGGGTGCATGTGTGTCTGACTGGCCTGGCCTGGCTGTCCGCTAACCTCAGAGATCCTCTTGTACCCATCTCTCTAGCACGAGGATTCCAAATCTGCCACTGTGGCTGGCTTTTTACATGGGCACAATCCTTGATAAAGGTGGAATAAGTGTGGCGAGCAGATGACACTGAAAATCATATAAAGGCAGAATGGCTCATAGCAACATGATGCTAAGAAGGAAGAGGCTTAGCCCCAGGCAATAAGAGAATCTGCATTTACTTAGAGTCTTGGTTGTAGTCAATGACCAAAGGAGATGAAGAAAGAAAGGAAGGAAGGAAGGAAGGAAGGAAGGAAGGAAGGAAGGAAGGAAGGAAGAAAGAGAAAAAAGAACTGTCCTACGTGTCTACTCACATTGACCCCTTTAGACCAGAGAAGAATGGATATGGGTTAACTTTCTGGGGTCTACCCAAAATTATCCAGCTAGATCCTATTATCCTTGTGTTCGGGGACCAGGGGAAGGGAGTAGGAGCTAGGACGGATCTTCATTTTACATCAACCCATTAGCCCGTTCATCAACTCCAGGCTGGAGTATCCCAAACTGTAGCCTTTGAATCAACCACTCGGAATTCTCCTGGGAGTTGATTAAAATGGTCTAGATTCAAACCCCAGACCTGAAAACATCAGCTTCTCAAGGGCAGGGCCGTAGAACCACGCATGCTCACTGGCAGAGGAAGGATATTCAGAACAGGAAGAGAGGGCTCCCCTCTAGAAATGCGTGTTAAGATCTCCTACTCATGCCAACCTCTCCCCACTTCCGTCCCGTCCCCCACATCTAAAGGGGGAACCTCCCAGAATTTACCTGGTCTGATGGGGCTCTGCATACAATTCGGAGACGGGATGCCAGGGTGGAGGGGAGCAGTGGCCCGGCTGCTGAGATCCATGACCGAAGGAGCGGTGGAAGAAGCAGGTTGCAAACCCGGAGGGTGAGGGCTGTGGTCGTGCTGCGATGGACTGGGGGGGATGCCATTTTCTGACAGAAATTCCTCCAGGTCCATGTATTCCAACTGGAAAGTATCTCCGTCATAGGGAAGGGTTTTGTCCCATAAGGTGGGTCCCAAGAAGGCCGACTGGGGGACGGTCGGGCTGTTGCTCTCATCATCCAGTTTCTTTCCTTTGTCTTTATCTTTGCTAAATGCTGAAGAAGAAAGGGAGAGGTGAGCTTTGTTTTTAAAAACCGAAAAGAAAAGGGGTCATTCTGTCACCAGCCTTCCTGCCATCTGTTACAAAACTACTGCTGGGGGCACTGAGGCCTCTGGGTGCTGTCTTTTGTGGATCTAGAGTTTCGACATCTTCCTATTTGCTTTGGAAAGAGAGCACTGGTCTGTAGGACGGGGCTACCGACTGATGTGGAATGAAAACAGGAGAACAATTCTCAGTGTGTTATCTGAAGGGATAAATCACCGAAATCTATGCTGGGAAAATGACACCGGAGAGTATATGCAACTAATGTGATCTCTTAAGGGGACCACTGATAACTTGGTATGATTCTATCTTTCAGAAAGTGACGACAGTAAGACTCTGAGGTCATTCAGACTTATAAACCAAGGGATTCATGCTTAGTCTTAGTAACCAGTCCCCGCCTCCACCTTCCCTTAATACTATGCGGCCAGTTTCTACGCTATTCCTTTCCATGTATTATCTCAATAAACTTACAAGACTACAATTATCCCCATTTACAAGGAAGATAAGGATGCTCCTATCAAAGAAGGAGCCTGTGGGGGAGGGGTGGTGGGGGAGGGCGAAGAACTTTCAAACTCATCCATTTGCTTAGAACCCCACTGGGACAGATACAAAAGGACTAAGTCAGTTTTAAAAAGTGGGTTCTTTTTCCTTTCCTCCAAACCTTTAAATATTACCTAATTAACAAGAAGAAAGCACACATTTATGCATCCCGTCACAAAACAGTACTATGCGAAGGTGCTGTGTTCTACTCTATGAGGGGAAGAATGCAGCTATTTCCTGCCTGGAAATAAAGCTCCTCCGGATTGGTTTTTACCGAGTTGTCTGCATTTTGCCAATATTCAGGTGTGGGTGGAATCAAGGATTACGGAATTTGATTCTGAGTTGTTTTTTCCCCCTTAGAGAAATGTAGCCCCACCGCCACCCATTCGAATCTTTAAAACCTCCGCAGTCTCATTAGAGAGTTGGACTTAAAACATCGACCACAAAAGCCTACCGCATCCGCAGCTTTCTCCCAAATGCTACTCCTTAAGAAGCAGTGCGGTAGGGTATTGGGGGGAGGGGGTTCTGTACGCGCAATCAAGTGCCAGCAACTCTTGCAATGCAACAGGCGTTCTCTCCCAGGGAAAAGGATGCAAACACCCCGAAGCTATTTGCAGCCAAATAATCTTTTCAAGACTATGCAGGAGCAGCAGAATTCGCTTTTGTCACTGTGATTAACACCAAAGGCAAGAAACTGCACCGGCCCAAAACACAAATCTGTCTGGCATCCGTAACGTTCGCAGCCCAGGTCTTACACGCATAACCCCCTCCTCACCATACCCCACCCGTCTCCTCAGCTCCAAACCACGGTTGCCAAGGGAAGGTTTGAGACTTACCAAGAAAGGGCTCAAGCCAGAGGAGGCTCCTGCACGCGGTTACACGTGAGCCTGCTCAGCTCTCCCCTCCCACCGGGTAGAGAGCACCGGGAAAGTGTCAGCGCTGGAGGCGTGCACCGCTTCCCGCCGACAGACCACTCCCCCCCACCCCCACCCCGCTTTGTGAATTGCGGGCCTGCGGGAGAAAGCGCCTCTCTGCTCACGCCGCGTGAGTTCACAACACAAAACAGTAACACAATCCCAATAGTCAGGCTGCCGAGTGAGAACCCCCATTTACTCGGACCCCCTCCCCGCACCACCCCCCCCCCCCGGCTCCAACCTGCCACCTCCCGCCCTTTCTCCTCTCCAGTCCCAGAGACACACTAGTCTCAGGTGGAACCCTGCCACTCAAAGCAGTGATCGGGACCTGTCAAGTTCACCTGTCACCTGCGCTGCAGGAGGACAGACCTAGAAAGGCCGGCGAGCCAGGTTCCCAGCGCTATTCAAATGTTGCCCCGGAGGGATCCCCTTTGCGTTGAGGAGAAAGAGGGAGTGAGCCCCCCTCCCCAATTTCACGAAAGCGAGGCGAGGGGAAGAAAGATGCTGGTGCTGGGCCGACCAGGGGGGTCCCTGGGAATGTCGTCCCTTCCCTAAGCCCAGCTGCCGAGGCGACGCTCACCATCTTCAGGATGAAGGGGGAGCTTCAGCGGGTTCTCCAGCAGGGACCTGAGCACGCCGTAGGGAGGCGGGATAAAGGTGGGGTTCAGGGGGAGCTGTCGGGACATTTTCTCCATCGTGATGCACTCAATTGTCTTTTAAAAAGAAGGCCAATCGCCGCCCCGAAATGTTGATGAGCTTTTTTTCCTCCGTCCTTTGCCAACCAAAAGTACTCGGTTTCAAAACAGTGCAGACAAGGAAGAAAAAAATATATATATCACTTCTGTCTCTGCAAATACATCAGCATACAAATATCAAAATAAGAAAACAACAACAAAAAACTTTCGGGTTCTCAGTGCTGACGGCCCGGGGAAAGCGCATCAGCGCCGCGGACTCCTCCGACCCTGTGCAGGATGCTCTTTCTCACCTGCCTCCAACACTCAGTCTTGCAAAAATGTTCAAAATTGCAAAGGGGGAAAGGAAAGAAAGAATTAAAAAAAAAAAAACCATAGACGGCTGCAGATGAGCAGAAAGCAAAGCGCGGGCCCGGGACCCTCGCGCAAGCACCCGAGGCTGTGCCGTCCCGCCCCACCCCCCTCCCCGCCGCGGCCGCTGCTCCCCGCGCTCCGCGGCCCCGCAGCGCCGGGCTCAGCGCATCAGGCAGTCCATGTGCCGCTGCCCTGACAAGAGTGACGTCAGGGCCCGCACCGCGCGCCGATAGGCGTGCGGGGGCGGGGCCCAGATCCGCCCCGCCCCTCCGCCCCGCCCTCCCAGGGCTGAGTGTGTAGCATTGCCGCACGCGCTGTTTTTCCGGCCCTTGCTCGGTCGGTGGGCTGCAAAAAGCGCAGGTGCCAGATTTCCTGGGAATAACTCCGCTAACTCTCACCCTGCTTCCTTTTGTGTGCTAACTCTCCTTTCTCTCCCCCAGAGTGAGCAGAGTAATGAGAAATTCGTGTCAGTGGTTTTTCAATGTGAAAACAAATTGGTGATTTTAAAAGAAAAAAAAAAAAAGATGGCCAGGTGGCAACCCGGATTTAAATTAGACTTCCTGGGGCGACGTCCTGGCAATCAATGGTTTTTTAAAGCTCCCCAGGTAGCTCCAACCAGAGGACAAGTTTAGGAGACTCTGATTTGGATAGACTTAAAGAGAATGACTTCTGGATATTTCTCCTCGCTCCTGATGAGCTTAGTTCTTTCCTTCCAGCCCCACTCCATATCCAACCTAAAATATCAACTTTCCTGAATTCTAAACAGTGTGCAAACGTAGAATGGAGACATGAGCTGCAGACTGAGCTGAAGTGAACGGTCTCCCACGCTGTCAGAGGGAATTAACAAGACAGACATTTGCTTGTAACAGAAGGATGGCACGAAAGACTTACACACCAAATGAATATTAGGAGTATTTACAAGACCCAGCAGGGCTGTAATTGGGCCAACTTAGAAGGTCTGAATACTAATTAAAATAATTTTGTAAACTATTCGTTAAAAGGCTAGAGGAATCTTGTTTGTGGCTGCAGTCTTTCCCACTGGCCTTCTGAAAGCTGGTAGAAGGGCCAGTCTTTTGACCTTGGTGCTGAGGCCCTCGCGGTGTCGGGGAGAACACCCCAGCAGAACTGATGGAGTAGAATGTAGACATTCTGCCTCACCTGCCAGGAGAGCTGAGACCCACCAACGGGATCTCCACATTTTCCTGCTTTACACTCTCCCCACCAGTTACACATTTCCACCAACACTAAGTCCCCCTGTCCCGTGGAGGAGCGTGTGTGTGTGTGTGTGTGTGTGTGTGTGTGTGTGATGATTTCTACAGTGCTGATTATTGAACCTAAGGCCTTACCCATGCCTAGCTACTTCTATATCACAGTGAGCTGCCCCCTCAGACCTATAGGGACAGATCTGCAAGAAGCTTTTCTGTGAGACATTTGTGAACACAGAGTAGGTCCATGATGTGCAAATATTACTGGGATATCCCTCCCTCCATCTCACTGCCAAGAATGAGGGATAAGAAAGGAGAGAGGAGAAATCTAAAATTCAGGAAACTCTGAGAGCTCACATCCAGGGGCACTGGAAATTCATGATAAGTGGTCCTGGCTCTTTCTCTGAGCAGAAGTTTCCTGGTAAATGGATGGCTGATCTCCTGGCCTTCATTTCCTCCTGCTTAACACCTGACAAAATGGATGGAAAGATGACATTCTGAGATGCTCTTGTAATGTCAGACTCCAGAAACATGGGCCACCTGAGCCTCCATGGTGGAAGCCATGTACATTTAGTGAGCACTACTGCATGCCGTTGACTGTGCTGGATCTGGTCAGAAGATGGATAAGACATGAGTGTACCAGGGAAAGACTGTCATAGAAGCAAACAGAACCTGGACTTCAAAAACCAGTAACAGAGAGAGCTGGCATGGGCATCTGTTACTGGAAGGAGAGTCCAGAGGGTTTGGAGTTAGTGGTCCTTTATGAACTTCCCAAACCCTTCACATGTTCTGTTTCTCAGAAAAGAAGGGACTTGCTGGAAGCTGAAGAGTTTATTCAGTGGGTTAAAGAACACTTGAGTCGTAGCATGAAGATACAAGCTTGGATCCACAGCATTAGCATAAAAAGAAAAGGAAGGAGAGAGGGAGGGAGGGAGAAAAGCCTCCAACAGCAGCATGGGCCTGTAACCCCAGCATTGGGGAGGCAGAGATAGAAAGATCCTTAAGGCTCACTAACTGCCAGCCTAGGCAATTGCTGAGCTCCAGGTTCAATGAGAGACCCTGTCTTAAAACCAGAGGAAGATGCCCATGCACACACACACACACACACACACACACATGTATGTAGAGAGAGGTATCTCCTTAACCTAATTTCCCCACAACCCTGTGAATCAATCCACAAGGAGAGGAGCAAGTGTGTTTCTGACTGGAAACAGGTGAAGATTCCAAGCACAAGAAAGAAGGCCAGTGTGACAATGTGACAACCCCGTTAGCACAGCCCCAGTCCTCTGTGTTCAGACTTCTCTGCTCTTCCCTCTCTTCCCCATGTCTCCACATATTTACTCAAGGAACCAGCTTGCCTGGAGCGATCGTTTTTCCTTCCCACCCAAGAGAGCCTAACACTGTGGTTTTGAAACAGCTCGTATTGCGGATGAGTAAGCTGGCTTGGTGACTGACCACTCAGTTTCTTGAGAAGTTGGCTTGTGTATGTCATTTACTTTCAATGGACTTGGTCATCTCTGGATATTGGCGTCCTGGAGCCCCATTCCCTTACCACACCGACTCTCCCTTCTCTCTCTTACTGTCTTCTCTACTTCAAATATATGGCCAGTGTTCCAGAATTTTAATTATAGGAGAGAATCCCACAGAAACAGTCTTCCTAGTACTCTGTCTCTTACAATACTTCAGCTCTTGCTTCTGAAATGTTCCCTGACACACACCTGTAGGAGCTGGGATGTGGGGGTGCTCTCCATAATCTGCTCATCTCTGCATTGGGTCTACTTGTGGTTTTCTGTGATGGTCTCCATTTGCCTGGAAAGGTGGTGCTCGAGCCCTCAGGCTGATTCTTAAGTGGATGCAGAGTGACAAATCATCATGTTGACCATGTAGGCATTTACACCCTGAGTTCAGCTAGCACTTGTTCATTTTCAAGAACCTTTCACAACAGGAATTGTTTTAACAATCACCCCAGTCTTCTGTTGTTGGAAGATAGTCTCCAAAACGCATGTTTCATACACATCTAACGTTTTATTGTTTTTTAGCACTTTGCATTCTGCATGAAGCTCAGCTGGGAGTGTGCCTGGCCAGTCTCTCTCTCTCTCTTTTTTCCCATGTAGGATCAAGGTCTCTCTCTTCTCAGTTAGTCCTCCCTCCTTGAATGATTTTCTTAGCAAAGTAGATACGCCCCAATATGCTGTCCCTGAAACCTTTACTTGCTTGATGTCCCATCAGTCAAAATTAGGTGTGTGCTTAAGCCTGAGACAAGGAGGGAAGGGAGTACATAGGACATGGAGTAGTAGTTCTTTGGCAACAGCCAGAGGATTCGTCTATCACATTCAGTTATTTTGGTTTCATATGAAGACAACATGGAAGTAAAGAAACACTGGATCCTTCAGCTGCCAGTTCAGTGAATCACTAGTTGAATATACATGGCTTGTTGGCCATTTTCTGTATGTCCCGTGCCCATTCTAAGCAATGATATGTGCAGCTCTGTGTGAGATGCAAAGATAAAGCAACCTGAGCTCAGACTAAGTGGTCTATGCTGGGTATAACCTCAATACCTGACTGCTGGTTTCTCACGTCTTCATTCATGCTGTTCATTTCTGGGCTGCTCTTCCTTCCTGGCTCCATCTCTGAGTCCCAACGAACCATGACTGGGCATCCTTAGAGTCTGGGAGACTTTCCTAATTCCCTTTCCTCCAACCTTTCAGTGTGTGGTTCAGAGAAAGAGGAATAGGACAGACCATAGAAAGAAAGGTTTCATGAGAGCTGTAAGGCCCTCTTTTCTGGTTTTGGAAATTACCCTTACGTTCATACAACCAGTGATTTCTACCTGTTGTCCTTTCAAGAGACTTAACAAAGTAGGGATGCTTTGGGGCCATGCAGTGGAATGGGAGAGGGCAGGTAGGTGGGGGTCGGCCATCTTGCCTCTGAAGCTCTGCGGAGGGTCTGTGCTGTGTAAATACTGTCTATGTTTCAGACTCCCGATGGCTGTGAAGCCTAGCTCTGCACACAATGCCTGCCCCGCTCCTGTGCCCTCCCAGGGCCTGGGAACCTGTGCAGAGGGAGGACTGCCCTGAGATTATGAAGCACATTGTACAGTGGAGCCAAAGCTCTAGATGAACCTGTTCAGCCTGTTGCCAATTTATCCAGGGAATTAATTCCACAGTGAAAAGCATCGAATTGCCAAACCAAGGGTCATTTGTCCCTTTCCCTCTTCCAGAGGCCTCCAACTCACCCAAAAAATTGAAAAGGTTAAGTATAATTAATCAACTTGCCTATCGAAGAATACATTCTCTGGGTTCACTAATATGCAAATCCAAGGAAAGCAAAATTAGGACATGTGCTGAGAACGCTAGGCTCCTCTTCAAGAATGACAAGAGACTTCCCCATCCTTTCCCTCTTGTAAACATCAGCGGCAACTAATGAGAGAGGTGTAAAAATATCTAACACTCCGTATGAGAGTATTATTTAAAGATAGTAGGATTTAAGCATGTCCAGTAGACCAAGGGAATTGTTTAGAAGAGAAATAAAGAAAGTGTATGTAGCAAAGAGAAAGGAAAATAATGTAGTGTATCACGTGGAGCAAACAGATAGTTTGGGGCCAAGTGTACATTAGTGCCTGGGTATCTGCTGTCACTAGTACACATATTAACAGTTAGTACA